GCCGCCCGGTAAGACCCAGTCTTAAAACACAAAACCCGCCGGGCGGTGGTGGCGCACACCTTTAATCCCAGCACTTGGGAGGCAGAGCCAGGCGGATCTCTGTGAGTTCGAGGCCAGCCTGGGCTACCAAGTGAGTTCCAGGAAAGGCGCAAAGCTACACAGAGAAACCCTGTCTCGAAAAACCAAAAAAAAAAAAAAAAAAAAAAAACACAAAACCCACAGGTTGGCAGTGGCACACGCCTTTAATCGCAGCACTCGGGGAGGTAGAGTCAGGCAGATCTCTGTGAGTTCAAGGCCAGGCTGGTATACAGAGCAAGATCCAGGACAGGCACCAAAAACTACATGGAGAAATCCTGTCTTGAAAAACCAAAACCAAAACCAAACAAAAACAAAAAACAAAATAAACCACACAAAACCCACAGGAGGGTGGTGGCAAAGCCTTTAATTCCAGCACTTGGAAGGCAGAGGCAGAGGTATCTCTGAGTTCAAGGCCAGCCAGGTCTACTGAGTGAGTTCCAGGACAGCCAGGGCTATACAGGAAACTCTGTCTTGAACTCCCTGCCCCACCCCCTATAAAAAACAACAACCGAAAAATACCCCACCAAACTACAAAACTCTAAAAAACAAAGCAAAACAAATCAAGAATAGAAAATAGTATGGCTGGGATGGTAGCTAATGTCTGTAATCTATTTGATAGGCCGAACCAGGAGGATCTCTTCAAGTTTGAGGCCAGCCTGGACTTCATAATGAATTCCACACCAACCTCGACTACAATGAGAGCCTGTCTTAAAAAAAAAAAAGTGGTATCTAAAAACTATTTACAATCAGGGGACAATGCAAAAGATGACATACCTTCTTCCCTGATAGAAGAATTTAGTATTTCAATTCACCCTGTTTCTCAAGATAACATAAAAATATAATACAACTCAAAGATTGAGAACAAAAAAATATTGATTAGAAATGATTTGATCAGACAACGTGCAGACAGACAGACTGCAGATCTTCACTGCTAAGCCTGTCCCGTTCCCTGAGTTCTCACTCAAGAGTTTATCTTCTTTTCTCTTTCTTTGGATACTGGCCAGAGCCTGTAACCATGCTTTCCCAGACACACTGGACCTCCTGCTTCTATGAAGAACATACCCCCACGCCCAATTTTCTACAGATGCTTGCCCACCTCCACGCCCTACTCCAAAGGAGTGTTCCTCTTCTCTGCTTACAGCTTGCCTACTCATACTTTTTCTCCCAAACTCTATTAAAATGGTCAAACTTCGAAAAGAAAGAAGGAAAAAATCCTAGACAACATAAAATGCCCTATTCTGAAGCCAGGTAAGTCTGCAGTATTTCTTAGGGAAGTACAGTCTGAATATCATATTTTGAAGGTCTTTAAGATTGTCGTTCCTTGGCCGGGCGGTGGTGGCACATGCCTTTAATCCCAGCACTCGGGAGGCAGAGCCAGGTGGATCTCTGTGAGTTCGAGGCCAGCCTGGGCTACTAAGCGAGTCCCAGGAAAGGCGCAAAGCTACACAGAGAAACCCTGTCTCGAAAAACGGAAAAAAAAAAAAAAAAAGATTGTCGTTCCTTAACCAGATGGGGGGTGGCACACATTTATAATCCCAGCAGAGGAGGCAGAAGCAGATCTCTTTGAGTTCGAGGCCAGCCTGGGTCTACAAAAGCCAGTTCCAGGACAGTCAGAGCTGTTACACAGAGAAACTCTGACTCGGGAAACACAAAATAAAACAAAACAAAAAAGATTGTCCTCCTGTGAACGCAGCATTGGTCAGTATATAAGGAATACTTCACAGTAATCAGACTCACAGAACACTAGTAGTAACCTGCCACCAAGTGTAAACCTTTTTTCTAATGTTTCAAGTCTGTTGGTGGCTCTCAGGAGAACCTGAAAAGCAGAATACAGGTTTGTTTGTGGTAATGGAATCAGAGAAAAAAGTAGAGATCACTTATTTCACCCCAGTTACATTAAGGCTTAGTGACTGGTTTCTAGCCAAGAGTATTTATTTGTTCCTGTTTCCCAAATATATCTATCCTTTATGGACAACTCTGAGAGTCATCAAGTTCTTACTCTCTTCACATCCTTTTTCCAAACCATAAGCCTATTACTCCTTGTTAAAACAAATCCTGGGGGGCTGGCGAGATGGCTCAGTGGTTAAGAGCACTGACTGCTCTTCTAGAGGACCCAGGTTCAATTCCCAGCAACCACATGGTGGCTCACAACTGTCTGTAACTCCAGTTCCAGGGGACCCTCACACAGACATACATGCAGATAAAACACCAATGCACATAAAATAAAAATAAATAAATTATATATATAAAAAATCCTGTGGGGTTTTTGTTTATTAAGACAGGGTGTATTAAGTTGTTTGGTTTTTGTTTTTTTTTTTTTGGTTTTTTGGTTTTTTTGAGACAGGGTTTCTCTGTAGCTTTGGAGCCTGTCCTGGAACTCACTTTGTAGACCAGATTGGCCTCAAACTTACAGAGACCTGCCTGTCTCTGCCTCCCGAGTGCTGGGATTAAAGGCGTGCGCCACCACTGCCCAGTTTATTAAGTTTTATTATCAACTTGGTATAAACTAGAATCACCTCAATTGTGGAATTGCTTCTATCAGATTGTCCTGTAGTCATGTCTGAGAGGAATTAACTTGATTGATGATTGATCTGGGAGGGCTAGGCCCACTGTGAGCCTGGGGTGTATAAGAAAGCCAGCTAGGGGCTGGAGAGATGGCTTAGTGGTTAAGAACACTGGCTGCTCTTCCCGAGAACCCAGGTTCAATTCCCAGCACCCACATGGCAGCTCACAACTGTCTGTAACTCCAGTTCTAGGGGATGCTCCTACAAACATATAGGCAGGCAAAACACCAATGTACATAAAATACAAATAAATAAATTATTTAAAAAAAAAAAAAGAAAGCCAGCTAAAGATGGGCATTGTGGCCCACATCTTAATCCAAGCATTTTGGAGGCAGAGGCAGGAAGATCTCTGTGAGTTCAAGGCCAGCCTGGTCTATAGAGAGAGATCCAGGACAGGTACCAAAACTACACAGAGAAACCCTGTCTTGAAAAACAAAACAAAACAAAACAAAACAAAAAAAAAAAAGGAAAGAAAGAAGAAAAAGGAAGTTAGCTAGCTGAGCATGAGCCGGAGAACAAAGTCAGTAACTGAGCAAAAATCATCCACGGTTTCTTCTTCAGTTCCTGCCCTGATTTCCTTCAATGGCGGCCCATGACCTGGAAGTATAAAGTGAATTAACCGTTTCCTCTTCTAAGTTGCGTTTGGTCATGGTACCACAGCAATGGAAAGCAAACTAGAAGCCGGGTGTCTTGTAGCCCAGGGTGGCCTCACATCCCCCTTCGTAGCTGTGGATGTCCTTGAATTTTTTTCTTTTTGAGTCAGGGTCTAATTGTGTAGCTGTCTGTCCTGGAACTAGCTGTGTAGGCCAGGCTGGGCCGGGACTCAGAGGTCCTTTTGCATCTGCCTCTTGAGTGCTGGGATTAAAGGTCTCAGGCACCACACCTGGCTGTCCCCAACTGACAATCTCCCACTTCCATCCCACAAATGCTGGGATTAGGGGCTGGGTCACCTTGCCCAATTTGAGGAGATGAGCATCCAGGCCTCATGCAAGCAAGTTACTACATAACTGAATCTCTCTCTCTGTCTCTCTGTCTTTCTTCGAGATAGGGTTTCTCTGTGTAGCCCTAGCTGTCCTACAACTCACTCTGTAGACCAGGTTCGTCTCAAACTTGGAGATCCACTGGCCTCTGCCTCCCTAGGCACGGGCCACCCCGAATCCATTTGTAATCTTTCACAGGGAGAGACAGATAATTACAGAGGAGTTTGTTATGCAGAATGTTAAATAGACGATTTGTTGCAGGAAAAGAAGGCTTGTCAAATTGTTTTTCTTTCCTCTAGTAATTTTATTTAAATAGAGATCTGCAGGTTTTTTTTTTTCTTTTGAGACAGGGTCTCACTGTATAGCACTGGCTGCCCTGGAACTCCATGTAGGTCAGAGACCCACCTGCCTCTGCCTTCAGAGTGGGCGAGAGGAGTGCCATACTACATCTAGCAAATCCATGCATCGATGATTGATTTATGGGTGTTGGGAGATCATCTAACCCTATGTTCACTTTTATTTGAAAAACTATAAAGTCCGAATAATTTCAAATCCCTTTGCCAGGCAGAGAAAGGATTCGATTTCCATTTCATCCATGTGCTTCACAATAAAACTGGAAGCATGTCATTTAAAAAGACACAAATCACTAGCCAACAGGTAGCCTCTCTGGCCACAAAGCCTTTTAAGAAACTTTGGAAATCGCTCCATTCTCTAAACTTCTGTGCCCTAAACAAATGATTCTGTTCCTTCCCCTCAGATTGATAAAGTCTTAAATCTTGGAGTCGCCTAAAGGGAACATCTCATTAAGTCAGCCGCGTTTTCCCGCCCGTGCGCCGTGCCCGATTCAGGAAGGTCAGTGCCGCAGGGCTTGCAGCCTGGGCCTCCCTAGGAGGAGCCGAGTCACACTTTTCGCACCTCGGGCCGCGACACTTGGACTCCCGCGAGGGAGGCCAAGGGGTCAGCGGGCTTGCTCGCAGCGGTAAGTCGCAAGCCAGAAAAGCGTGGTTTTCCTTCAGGCACAGGAGTAGGGCGAACTCGGAAACGGAGCCCCCAAGGCGCGCGGGGGAGGGGCGAGAGGCGCCAAAAGAAAGGGAAAGGCCTTTCTCGGGGCTGACGCGCGGTCACGCGGCTTTCTCCCGACGTGGGCGCTTGCCATTGGCCGAGCTGCCACTGACGTGCAGCAGTTGCCCGGCGCGAACCGCGGCGAGAGCGGCGCTGCGTTGGAAGTTGGCGAGGCGCGCGCGCTCCCGCGGCTCGACCAATCCCCGCCTTCCGCGCTGGGCCCGCCAACCCGCTCGTCCAATCGCGCTCTGCTTCGGCGTGGCCCCGCCCCCGGTGGGCGGGCGGCGCGCGGAAAGCGCGTCACGTGATGACTAGCCCCGCCTCTTCCTCTCGGTCCCATATTGAACTCGAGTTGGAAGAGGCGAGTCCGGTCTCAAAATGGAGGTAAAACCGCCGCCCGGTCGCCCCCAGCCTGACTCCGGCCGTCGCCGCCGCCGCCGGGGGGAGGAGGTATTAGGGGGAGAGCGGGGGGTTGCTGGGTAGATGCCGGCGTGGGGGGGGCTTTGGCTCGATGGGAGCGGGGAGGCCGGGGAGGGGGGGGGGGGAGAACCGGGACGATCGTCCCGCGCTCTGCGCTGAGAGGGCGGCGGGAGGGGGAGGGGAGCGGGCCGGGCGGCCTCATCGAGGCCCTCCGTCGGCCTGGCCCTCTCGGTCGGCCGCACCAGCAGCCCTCGGAGACGCGGCGCGGCCGCGGAGGAGGTCGGCGGGCGGGCGAGGAGCCCGCGGCCTGCGCGGCCTGCCTGGCGAGGCCGCGGGCGGCATGGCGGGCCTCCGCGGGAGCGGTTGGGAGGAGGCGGTGGGGGAGGGGAGGAGCACATCCGGGCGAGCGAGCAGGCGGGCGGCGGCCACATTGACATTGATCCGCTGCCGCGTTACGAAATGGCGCATTGGCCCGCAATGGCCGCCGCCTGGTTACGCCGCCAAGGAGTGCGTGGGATTGGAGGGAGCGGCGGAGAGGCGGCCGGGCAGCAAATGCCGCAGATGGCCTCGAGGCTCGGGCGCGGTGCTTTTCGCTGGGGTGCTGCCGGCGCGTATCCGGGCCTTCGGGCCTCCTCGGTGACGACAATCCGTGCAGTTCTGTGGCCGGATTTTCTCAGCGCTCATTTGGGGATACATTACTGAAAAAAGCTTGCTGCTTTAAGGTGCTTCCTAACCCGCTACATTCGCTCAAGTATTCGGAATGAAAGTGCTTATAGCGTCTTGTGGTTGAAGTATTAACAGTTTCAGGGTTTGCGTGTAGATAAGTGGTTTTTTTTTTGGAGCTTAATACCTTTACTGATCTAATTTCTCATTCTTTGGATTGGTACGGGTTGTGGTTTTCTGGATTTTGGTTTTAGAGAACTGCGACCACAGTTGAAAATTTCACGACTACGAGAATTTTGTGTGTACAGGGATGTTGTTTTTGTGTATTGTCATGCATTTATCCGAGGCTTGAATACATGGGACTAAGTGAATTAATGCTTTGGGCAGTTGATCATTTAACGTGTTTTTAGTATGTGACAGTCTTCATATTGAATGCTTTAACACCTCTACTTCTAGAAGATTGAAGACGTTTTTAAATGTGAATGAGTCTCCTTTAACCATTTGTGTTGAATTGTATTAATGCGTTCATTAAAAGCGGTTCACTTGAATGTTAAACCTTAAATGAAAAATTCATACTAGATATTTATTTTCTAAGTCAATTGCGGTTTTGTGTTGTAATTCCTCTGGCAGACAGTATATGCTATACGTGTCATAAATTCAAATTATATACTTGTGAATGTAGGAGTAGTGTTCGCAGTCATTTAACTATATGATGTAAATGGGCATACACCAAGTTAAATTGACTACAGAAAGCTAAGTGGTGCATCCAGGTGTGATGATGCACACCTGTGATCCTAACACATGAAAAGCTGAGGTAGTACTGCCTCAAGTTCCAGTCTAGCCTAGCCTGTCCTTGAGACCCTGCCTCAACAGGACCACCCCCACCCCAACCCCCAAGCACTACGGATTTAAGTCTTAGCCGTATTTTGTTTCATTCTTTGTGGGATATGCCTGGTTTTTTTTTTTTTTTTTTTGCCTAGGAATGTTTTAAATAACTGATTTGCAGGAAATCTGAATTTCTCTCAATTTGCCACTCTAAACTTTTAAGTTGCATTTCATAGATGGTGTTTTAAAATTATGGGTTTGTTGGTGTTGCAGACTGATAGTGGAGATGGCATGGGATGAATGATGCTGACTTCGGGTTTTTTCTAGTGAATGACTTGTTACAAACGTCTGAAATATATTTTCAGTTGTAGCTTTCAAAAAGTTGTGGTTTTTTTTTTTAAAATCTGGGATTGTTTTGGGGTCAGTTTAGTTACATAATGTTTAAAGTGACTTCGGGTACCATTTTAGTGAGTTTTTTAAGACAACTCACCCGCTATGTACTTGATACTGTACATATTGGCTTTGAACTGGATAAGTAGTCCAGACTAGCCTCTGCCTCAAACGCTAAAATTAACTGGTATGTACTATCATGCCCAGCGTAGAGCAGATTTTTTAATTGGAGTATTCATGTTACAAAATTCGAGATTTATGTGACTTAATTCATTTTCTCCAAGAAAAAAAAAACTATATTGATGTTTTTTCTCAGGGCCATGATCCAAAGGAACCAGAACAGTTGAGGAAGCTGTTTATTGGTGGTCTGAGCTTTGAAACCACAGATGATAGCTTAAGAGAACATTTTGAGAAATGGGGCACACTTACAGACTGTGTGGTGAGTCCTTGGGATAAGGATGGTCTTAGGAAGGGATGGGGACCTATATAGGACTATTTAAATACTTTTGTTCCTTTATTTTGTAGGTAATGAGAGATCCCCAAACAAAACGTTCCAGGGGCTTTGGTTTTGTGACCTACTCTTGTGTTGAAGAGGTGGATGCTGCAATGTGTGCTCGGCCACACAAGGTTGATGGGCGTGTGGTAGAACCAAAGAGAGCTGTTTCTAGAGAGGTATTTTAATAACATGTTGTATAATGCATGGAACTGTGAGAGTTTGTTTTTTTTGACTTAAAAATTATTTTATTTACAGGATTCTGTAAAGCCTGGTGCCCATTTAACCGTGAAGAAAATTTTTGTTGGTGGTATTAAAGAAGATACAGAAGAATATAATCTGAGAGACTACTTTGAAAAGTATGGCAAAATTGAAACCATAGAAGTTATGGAAGACAGGCAGAGTGGAAAAAAGAGAGGATTCGCTTTTGTAACTTTTGATGATCATGACACAGTTGATAAAATTGTTGGTAAGTAACCGTTCGTTGGAACATGCATGATTTCTGTGTTCAGCTGAATTCACTAACTATACTTTGTGAAAGGTGTTTTCATAAATATAGATCAGTGCTTCTCACCCTTCCTAATTCTGTGACCCTTTAATACCTGCCATGTCCTTATGTTGTGGTGACCCCAAACGTAAAATTATTTTTGTAGCTACTTCATAACTATTTTGTGAGTTACGAATCATAATGTAAATATCTAATATGTGATCCCTGTGGAGGTCACAAGCCATCTAGATTAAGAAACATTAGCTTCTCCAAGTATACTTCCCTTCTCAGTCTATCATTTTAACAGTATTTTAATTAATTGCATAGTAACAAAGGGTTGCACTTACATGGTTTTCCAAACAAAAAATAACTTCAGTTTTTTACTTAAAATTTTATAGTTCAGAAATACCACACTATTAATGGGCATAATTGTGAAGTGAAAAAGGCCCTTTCTAAACAAGAGATGCAGTCTGCTGGATCACAGAGAGGTAAGTAGGAGCAGATAGACATAAATAATAGGCATGAACAGTAGTTGAAAGATAAGGAAACTTTCACTTCAACCTGTGTTACAGGTCGTGGAGGTGGATCTGGAAACTTTATGGGTCGTGGAGGAAACTTTGGAGGTGGTGGAGGTAATTTTGGTCGTGGTGGAAACTTTGGTGGAAGAGGTAAGGTGCTCATTTTAAGTATTAATTCATAAATTTACTAGCAAGTTGAAGTACTAGTAAGTTTTAATTCAAACTTTGGTTTTCCTCAGGAGGCTATGGTGGTGGAGGTGGTGGCAGCAGAGGTAGTTATGGAGGTGGTGATGGTGGATATAATGGATTTGGAGGTGATGGTAAGTATTTAAATACCGAATTTTGGTTTTTAATTTCTTTCTGCATTGCTAGAAATCAGACACATGACCTCATACTAGGCAGTAAAACTTAAATACAGATATGGTAGGTGACATTTGATTGTTTAAACAACCATATTAAAAGTGTCAAATCTTCCAATCCTAAAACTTTGAATGGATTGATGAAATAATAGTTCCTAACTAGTGCTACATAATACAAATCCTCTTCCCAAGGATGGAAGTAAAATATTAACTAGACCTCTTCAGTCAGTAGGATTTATTTGTACCAGCAGCTGAGCTAAAATTGCTTTGTGTAGTTGGGCAGGTAGTGGCGCATGCCTTTAATCCCAGCACTTTCAAGGCAGAGACAGGCAGATTTCTTGTGTGAGGCCAGCCTAATCTACAGAGTGGGTTCCAGGACAGGCTCCAATGCTACACAGAGAAACCCTGTCTCAGAAGAAGCCAAAAAGAAAAAGAAAAAAATTGCTTTGTGTAAGGCTATATTGTCCTTGGTGAAAAATGGGGTGGGGGTGGGATTTTTTTTTTTTTTTTTTTTTTTTTTGCGGTGGTTGGGACAGGGTTTCTCTGTGTAACTTAGTTCCTTTCCTGGAACTCACTCTGTAGCCCAGGGTGGCCTTGAACTCACAGAGATCTGTTTGCCTCTGCCTCCCTAGTGCTGGGATTAAAGGCATGCGCTGCCACCACCTGGCTGAATTTTTTTTTTAAATGAAAACTGACTTGTTTGAATAAAAAATATTCATCTTAAGATTTTAGTTATCGGGGCTGGGGATTTAGCTCAGTGGTAGAGCGCTTGCTCTGGGTTCGTTCCTCAGCTCTGGGGGCGGGGGGATTTTAGATACCAAGATTGCTTGGCTCTGATTAGATTTGAGAGTGTTAAATCAGTTCACTGGTTCATTGCCAGTGACAGTGCAGTATAAACCAGAAGTATTTGGGCCTGCCCTGTACTTTTGTTTCTGTGTGGCTTTCTTTTCAGGCGGCAACTATGGTGGTGGTCCTGGTTACAGTAGTAGAGGAGGCTATGGTGGTGGTGGACCAGGATATGGAAACCAAGGTGGTGGATATGGTGGTGGTGGAGGAGGATACGATGGTTACAATGAAGGAGGCAATTTTGGTGGAGGTAAGTTACAGATGTTCAGATTTATGCAAACTAGCATTTAAATTAATTCTCAGCAATACCCAGAAATGCTTAAAAAGATAGACTGGAAAAGAAGCTTTAAGTGAATAGCTATATTAAAACGCAGCTCATCCATGTAAACTTACTGGCCATGTCCATTATTTCTAAGTTGTGGAAAAAATGAGCACTGCATACATTTCACTATTAAAATACAATTTTTAAATGTATTCAGGGGGATGTTGAGTTCCAGATCAGTGTGAATAATACAGAAAATAAAGGTTTCTAGTGTACAATTTAATGCATATTTACAGTATTTTACAATCTTCATCACTGTTCCCAAAACATTTTCATCGTTCCAAGTAGGACCCAGCTACCCTCAAATATGTATTGGACTCTGGCTTTGAACCTTCTTGCATCCACCTCCCAACCACACCAGGCAGTTTGATTCTTTAAAATTTTTTTACAGTGTTAGTGGATAGTCTAAATTGGTAAAAGGAACTTTAGTAGTAAAACAGACAACTAGTAATTAGTAAATTACAAGGGAATTTTTTTTTCCTGGAGTTGAGGACCGAACCCAGGGCCTTGCACTTGCTAGGCAAGCGCTCTACCGCTGAGCTAAATCCCCAATCCCAAATGGTAGGGAAGTTTTAAAATGTGGCTTATTGCTGAGTTTTCTTGGGGTACTTTTAAACTAGGTAAATGGGATATGCAAATTGTTTGAATACTTTTAAGCAAATAGGGTGCCATATCAGCTCTTGGAATAATTTGGGTGGTACTATATTATATATTAATAATGTGTTTGTTATGTACTAACACACTACATACTGTAACATGCACAATTATTACAGGTAATGTAGAGCTTTGTTAGGAAACTGTTGAACCTTACTCATAAATGTGAGTGGCTGATAATTAACTTTTTAGAATACCTTCTGTTGCTGCTTTAAAAACTGCATTGCATCAGAATCACATTGAATACCAACAATTTTGGTGCTCTAAATGATGATATGGTAGCAATGTGTAGCTATGATACAATATCAAAGAAAAAAATGAGAATTCCTCATGCTGAAATTGATAAGCTTCTTAGAAATGTATTCTTCTGGACATGATCCACTTACTGTGCCCTTTTTTAAATCTGTTTATTAGATTACTTAGGCTTCTGGTAAATGGAGTTAGTGCCCAAGGTTGCAGTTAATGCTTGAATAAAAATAATTATGCTTCTGTGGTTGTCCAATTAAAGGAGTAAATAATTGTTCTGGTAAACTACAAATAAAATCTTTGTGATTTCAGGTAACTATGGTGGTGGTGGGAACTATAATGACTTTGGAAATTATAGTGGACAACAGCAATCAAATTATGGGCCCATGAAAGGGGGCAGTTTTGGTGGAAGAAGCTCAGGCAGTCCCTATGGTGGTAAGTCCTTTTTAGTCAGAATTCTTTAGTGCCATCCTGGTTAACATGGTACATGTATTTAGAACTGTCTGTGTTATTTTCCAGGTGGCTATGGATCTGGTGGTGGAAGTGGTGGATATGGTAGCAGAAGGTTTTAAAAAAAAAAAAAGCAGAAAAGGGTAAGTATCTTTAAATTTTTTTAAATGATGATAAAAGAATATATGGAACTGTTCACTGAGTGTAATAATTTTTTTATCCTGTATTATTCAACAGGCTACAGTTCTTAGCAGGAGAGAGAGCGAGGAGTTGTCAGGAAAGCTGCAGGTTACTTTGAGACAGTCGTCCTAAATGCATTAGAGGAACTGTAAAAATCTGCCACAGAAGGAGCGATGATCCATAGTCAGAAAAGTTACTGCAGCTTAAACAGGAAACCCTTCTTGTTCAGGACTGTCATAGCCACAGTTTGCAAAAAGTGCAGCTATTGATTCATGCAATGTAGTGTCAATTAGATGTACATTCCTGAGGTCTTTTATCTGTTGTAGCTTTGTCTTTTTCTTTTTCTTTTCATTACATCAGGTATATTGCCCTGTAAATTGTGGTAGTGGTACCAGGAATAAAAAATTAAGGAATTTTTAACTTTTCAATATTTGTGTAGTTCAGTTTTTCTACATTTTAGTACAGAAACTTTAACAAAAATGCAGTTTTGAAGGTGTTTCCTTGTGAGTTAACAAGTAAAGAAGATCATTGTTAATTACTATTTTGTATGAATTTTGCTAAAGTTAACTGTAAAGAAACACCTACTGACTTGCAATTTAAGGGGAATCTATTCTCCCCATTTCCAAAACCATGATGAATGGGCACTGATATGTGGAGAGAATAGATATCTGTATGTTTGCAATGTGTGTTTTAGATAATTAGGATTGGGTAATAAAAATTAGCATATTTGTGAATTCAATAGCATTAAGATTACTTTCCAATGAAAAAGATCTCAAAAGTTCCTATTTGGTTTTTGTGCATTTTCTTTCGAAATGTAATCATGATTTTAGTATGTTAGACTTATTGAGTCCTAGCCGTGTTAAGAACATCTCCATTCCACATTTACCTTGATCACATTGAAACTGCTGCCAATAGTTTGGGGTATAAAGTGTTTATACTGCTCTCTACTAAAGGGTGGTGGATATATTTCATCTCCCAGTTTAACAGTCTTTTTAATACAGGACCACTAAGTCTGCTGTGTCTGAGCAAACTGGTGGATACCTGGTCTGTTCTGCTTTTAAAATTCCAAGTCCCAAGCACATTGACCTAGTCACTTCCTTGGTTTAGTCTCCCCCTACACACAGCTTTTCAGGGCACAGGAATAAAAGTCACTCATTTGAACCCCTCACTGGCTGGCATGCTTTTCTGTTTATACCCTGTACATTTTGCTGGATGATGAAGCCAAGGATAGTTACGGTGTCACTGTCCAAAACAAAGGAGCGGAAAATGTAGCACAATTGCTTAGATAAGCACCTCACTTCCCAAAGGTCTGAATTCGAATTTGGATAGCCCTGAATGCTTAAATCCCCAAAGAACACACGGTTATTCTTTGTATATATTTCATCCTAAAACATGTTGGTGTTTGTTCAGAGACCTTGGTTGAGGAGAGTTCTAGATACTAAGGTCATATATATGAAAAATGTACTGTTGCGCCCGCCAGCTAGTGCTTAACAACTTCATTCAAGCCCTAAGTGTGTGCTCTGCTGTTGCTTTCTTTGGCAATTGAACATTGAATTCAAATTTTTATTTGGTTTTTGAAGTACAAGCAAAACAAGCAATAAAAAGGGGAATGGGACGTGCTAGTGTTTGAATATGCTCTCTTGTTGCTCTAATTCTGTGCCTCTGTGCATTATTAATATTTGGATGCATGCAATGCTAGCATGGAACTTTGGTCTTCACAAATACTGCAGTTTTTCCAGAAAACACTCACAAACCAATAAATGTAACAGACAACATTCCATTTGTTAATGGGCATATGTGAATAAGCAGTGTAGAAAATAGGCTCATGTTAGAAAATGGTTACATCTTTCATAACTAAAGTGTGGTTATATAAATGGACACTGTCAATGTTCATAATTTAAACCTGGGTACCTGGTCAAAATGCTTAGGAAATATTAAAACTGAGCTAAATTGTCTCAAGTCCTTTTATTCATATAATAAAGATTGAAAGAATTGGGGAGGTAACATTTCTGGTTTTGTTTGTAAAATTGTTGGACACAACCTTGACAGTATCCTTTAATGTCATGAGGTCAATTGTATTGTTAACCAACTTTTTATGTTCTGGAATAGTATAATAGCAAAACATTTTTCAGTAAGTTGATGTTTACAACCTATAATCAGGTGAAATCTGTATGTGACCTGTTTATAAGTTGTACTGGGTTAGCTTTTGTGAACAGTGTGGAAAAGTAAGCCATGAGCGATTTAACCAGCTTTAAAAGGACCTAAGTTGTGCTGTTTAAGCACTACTGGATCAAAGGAAACCCACTAAGACAGGACTTCAGCAGCCTTTGTGTATGGACAAGTCAGCATAAATAAAGAATGAGAAGGCAGCCCCAGCAAGAGCTTCAACTACAGACAAGTGGAGGCATAAGATTCTGTGGTGATGATAGTGAGCAGCGTTCCAAAAGCTAGTTAAATCTGCTTATTGCAACTGAAATGTCGAAGAAAGTAGCAGGAAGGAGCTCCGCCTTTTGGAACATCAATGAGATAGTTGCCACAGTCACTAGGTCTAGCATTTAGACCTGCAAGGAAGGGCAATAAGCATTAGGTAAGGCTTGAATTTGAATTTTTTCACTAATTAAAGAGTGCTTTTTTGTAAAGCAAGGTAAGAGTAATCTTTTTGATTTGCAGGTGAATGAGAAAACCCTACTTGCCTAAATGAGGAATGTCTTTCCTACCATCTTAAATACGAAGGTTTCTGGCTGGGTAAGGTTTGTAGCTCACAGTAAAGCGTGATGACATCATTGGTTTCCCTACAAATCGATGCCACAGTTTGAAACATTACCCCCATTAGTAGGTACACTGGCAGAATTGTCAAGCTCAGTTTTATTTTGGGTACCCTGTTGAACAAGTTCTAAGACTTCAGGTGGTCACATTCTGCAGTAGCCATGGATATTTATCATGAGCCAGATGTAGCCTTTTCATGTGTGTACAAACTCACTCACTGTTAGCATCTGTGGTAAAATCCGCTTTCTGTAAGGGAAAGAAAGTCATTGGCTTTTCAGAACAGTTTTGAAGTATTGACTTCCGGTAAGCTGCTAGTTCCCACCCTTGGGAAAATGGGGATCTTTTACAATTACCAGCATAATAGTCTTCCTCAAAGTTATCTTGCATATCAGTTCATGACTATGAATCAGTAGGAACAGTCAGTTTTTAGTTGTCTGTCCATTTCTTCCATCCCCTAAATACACACAAGGTCTCACTATTGTCCTGACCTGGAACTCAGTCCACCTGCCTGTCTCCCAAATGCTGGGATGATTAAAGGGTGGTGCCTAATTGTCACTCATGCTCCTTAAAAAAAAAAAAATCCAAAGAACAGTTGAGTTACTATTCAAATAGGTTGCTGATTGTTCATAAGGGCTAATTTTTGCTGCCTTGAAAGGGCTTTGAAAATTGCTTAATTCAGGTTACTTTTTAATATATCCTCAGAGGACAAGTTTGCAAAATACTGGTTAGTAAGTTAGAGATCTTGTTTTCCATACAGGGATGCCCTACATCATTTGCTTGGCATTTCAGTCAGGACTGAATTTACACAAACTATAGTTACTAATAAGTAAGGTAGCAGTCTTTCAATGGTGATTCCTTCATACAGATTTGGAGAAATGCATTTTTTAACAGGCATTTACATTTCATTTCCTTTCTGAAATAAAATGATTTTACTTAATGTGGTTCCACTGTCGTTTCTGCAAAAACATTTTACATACAAAAGGTGGCCATACAAAACAGGAAACAGTTGAGGGTGACTGATTTTGTTTGACCTGTAGGTTACTGCTCCCAGTTTACATGTCTAAAAGCTGCATTTGCACTTGTGTGTAAAGAGAACATGTTTAAGAAAGTCATCTGGTGGGGCTACAGAGACATGGGCTTGGTTTTTGAGGATTCTATTCTGTTACAATTCAAAACACTTAAAAGGTATCAGTGATTAGCATGGCAAGATGGTAAGCATGGGGATATGGGGTAATGTGAGGACTGGTAGTCTATCCAAGTACTCAGTTTTAAGTGTGTTTTATGACAGCAGAGGTGGTCTGTACTGGATTCAATTGTTTCATTTGTAGTATAATGAAATGTTACAGAAATGACTTTTTCATTAAAATATTTTTAGAAACGTGTGTGTGGTTTTTATCACCTTGCAATATTCCTTTGTCCTATATAAATATGGACAGTAACAAAATGAGGTTTGGGGTAAACCTTGATACACTTAAGCTTGTTTTGAAAGATGGGATAGAAACAAATACACTGCCACACTACAAGGGCAACATGGGATAATTGGTGTATGTGGAATTTATGGTCATTTTGGATGGTGGGTGAGATAATTAGGCAAGTGAAATCAAAGGCTGGGTGAAAGTGAGTGTCCATGTGTGACAACTTTGAAGGTAAATAGGGTAAAGAAGTGTCTGAGGGTAGTCTTCATTTATACTGCAGATTCCCCCAAGACAGGTGGGTAGTCATTTGGTAACATTGGGTTCTGAGTTCTAAACCCAGGCCCACTGATGGTTCCGATTCCACTGCTGCAGCTTCCTGAGTCCTGGGTCTGTGAAGAGGCCTAGCCACACATGCTCCAAAGTGAGTTACTTTGTAAATAGATTCCAGGTAAGGGTTCTTATTTTTAAACTTGCTTCACATACTGATTTTGTGTAAGTAGCAACCACACATTACCTTAGTAAGTCCTTGCCTGGATTTTCACCAAAAATATATACTAATCGGGATGGAAATAGCTATGTAGTGCCAGATACAAACTACTGAGTGTTAACCTCTGATACTTGCCTAGCATGCCTAAGGTCCTGGGTTCAACCTCTTCCCCTGTTCACAAACCTGCCAAACAGGAAACTCGTAGTGTGCTTAAGCCTATTACACTTTAGTAAGATCAGGATCCTGTTAAGCAGTAAGTTGGCATAACTTTAGGTTACTAAATATCGGAGGAAGTGCCAATTTTGGCTGTCACATTAAAACAGGCAGTGGTAGGGATGTGTTAACTGCTTGTTTGGAGCCTCAGTTCCAGGAACTAGAAGGTGAGCATATGTCAATCCTATGTAGACTTTAGAGACTACCAGTGAACAGTTCAAGTCTGGAATTTTGAGCTTTAAAATCTTAGGATAGAGCCGGACAGTGGTGGCCCACACCTGTAATCAGCAGGAGGCAGAGGCAGGTGGATCTTGAAATGCCAAATACATTGGATAATTTTTACGATACATTCCTTTTTTTGTGTAACCATTGCAGAACCAAACCTTTGTCCTCTGCAAGAGCAGCAGGTGCCTTTAATAACTGAACCATCTCTAGCCCCTTTACATCACAATTTTTTTTTGGGGGGGGGGAGTTTCGAGACGGTTTCTCTGTGTAGTTTTGTGCCTCTCCTGGAACTCACTTGGTAGCCCAGGCTGGCCTTGAACTCACAGAGATCCGCCTGGCTCTGCCTCCCAAGTGCTGGGATTAAAGGTGTGCGCCACCACCGCCCGGCACGTCGCAATTTTTAATAGCTTAAAATAGTTGGCTTTATATGGAAGTTATAATGGGTAGCCTTACAGATACTGTGTTTCCCTGTGTGGTTAATGGAGACATCCTTCAAGCATCAGGTTACCTGCTATGAATTAATTTTAGCTGTCTTATGTCCTCATTTAATAACTACTAGGATGCAATTAGGTTCTGTTTAGTCTTTAAGCCTTGCTTATCAAGTTTAGATTGTGAACTTAGTTATGTGGGCTTGGACAATTTATTTGGGTTTTCTGCTTTTCCTTACCTGTTTGATATTGCCAACAAAAAAAGCTTAAAATAATTGGGTTTGGGGATTGAGGTGGCTTGGTGGCTGAGAGTATTTGTTGCTTTTCCAGAGGACTTAGGTTTGTTTCTCGGCACCTACATGGGACACATCTCAACCATCTGTACTTCTAGTCCCAGAGGACCCAGTGCCTTTTCTGGTATCGGGCACATGAGTGGTAGGCAGATGAAACACCCATAGACATGACTTTTTTGAATGTTGGCTTTGGGAGTTGTGGTGCATGCCTTTTAATTCTAACAGTTGGGAGACGGGCGCACAAGTTCTCACTTCCAGGAGAGCCAGGATTATACAATGACATTTTGGGGAGAATTTTTTTTTTTTTTTTTTTTTTTAATTGGGCTTGGTTTGTTCAGAGACAGCTCAGTCTGCCTCCATCTTCTGGCCAAAGCATTCCCAAACTGGAGTTAAAGCCTTGAACATCTAATTTTGACTCAACGTTAAACTGCTTAAACTTGGGCAGTTTAAATATATAAAGTATTAATCGGGCTGGAGCGATGGCTTAGAGTTTAAGAACCCTGGCTGCTCTTCAAGAGGTCCTGAGTTCAATTCCCAGTACTCACAGTGTGGCGGACAACTAACTGTTTGATCTATAATGGGATCTGATACTATCTTCTGGCTCAACAATAGTTAGGTGCTTTATATTATATCTTTATTTCATTTGGTAGGTCTTAGATCTTTGAGAGTGTTGCCTGAGGATCTTTTGAGTTTCCAATAATCCAGTGATCTAAACTGAAGTCAAAAGCATTGTCAATGCTGTTGTCAAGAATATTAAAGGAGGCCGGGCGGTGGTGGCACACGCCTTTAATCCCAGCACTCGGGAGGCAGAGGCAGGCGGATCTTTGTGAGTTCAAGGCCAGCCTGGTCTACAGAGTGAGTTCCAGGAAAGGCGCAAAGCTACACAGAGAAACCCTGTCTCGGAAAAAAAAAAAAAAAAAAAAAAAGAATATTAAAGGAAACGTTACTTTTCATTGTTACCAAAATTGACTGATTAAAATATTGAGACCTGTTGAGAAGATGGTCCAGTGCATAAGAGCTCTTGCTGTGCAAGCATGAGGACCTTGCTTTGAATCTCGAGCACAATGTCAAATGCAGGTGTGGTCACAAAATGCCCACTGAGGCTTGCTAGCTGCTAGCCTGGCTCCAGGTTCAGTCAGGAGACCATGTTTCAAGGGATGGAACGATGAAGGCAGTACACGCAATGTCTTCGGGTCACGTGCATATACACCACAAGGAGATTCCAAAACCCAAATTTATGTTAAGAACTATGCGTGCTGCCTGAGGTTAAGTGTGAGAATTGGCTGAAAGGGTACCTATCTAGAGTAATTTTGGTGATCATTGTAACATATCTGGAAGCATACCTAAAGTCTAATGGAGACTAGTTAAGTTAGGATCTTGGTTTTCTTTTTTCTTTTTCTGCCAAGAACTGAAGTCATTAGTTTTCTTTTTTCTTTTTTTTCTTTTGTTTTTTTGAGACAGGGTTTCTCTGTGTAGCTGTGCACCTTTCCTGGATCTCACTCTGTAGCCCAGGCTGGCCTTGAACTCACAGAGATCCTGTCTCTGCCTCCCAGTGCTGGGATTAAAGGCGTGTTCCACCACCGCCCGGCGTCATTAGTTTTCTTTAAATCTATCAACTGAAACTGCTGGTCTTTATTTACTTTTTTGTTTTTCAAGACAGAGCCCTGGCTGTCCAGGGGACCAGGCTGGCCTCAAACTCAGAGATCAGCCTGCCTCTGCCTCCCAAGTGCCAGGATTAAAGGCATGCGCTACCATGCCCTAAACTGCTGTCTTTTAAAGTGGGAAGAATATGTTCTATAAAAAAAAAAAAGTAATAAAATTTGAGGCCGGTGGTAGCGCATGGCTTTAATCCCAGCACTCGGGAGGCAGAGGCAGGCAGATCTCTGAGTTCGAGGCCAGCCTGGTCTACAAAGTGAGTTCCAGGAAAGGCGCAAAACTCCACAGAGAAACCCTGTCTCAAAAAACAACAACAACAACAAAACAAAACCAAACAAACACAAAAAAACCCTTTGTGTGTATGGGTTATTTGCATGCCTGTCTGTGTAACTGGTGCCCACAGAGGCCCGAAGAGGGGGTTGGGTCCCCTGGAACTGCAGTTACAGATGGTTGTGAGCTGCCATGCAGGTGCTGGAATTTGAATCCAGCTCCTCTAGAAGAGCGGTCAGAGCTCTTAACCAATGAACCACCTTTCCAACCCCTCTATCTGAAATTTTAAACAATTACACAATTACTCAATGTAAATTTAAGTACAGTAAAATCCTATGTCCTCCAGAGGAGATGGACAGCATGAAAGAGAGAACTCAAGACCAAGTATCTTAAGAATCATAGATCCACTTTCAATCAAAAACAAGGTTTTTATTTTGTTTGGTTTTTGTAGATTTATTTATTATGTATACAATGTTCTGTCTGCAGGCAAGAAGAGGGCACCAGATCTCATTACAGATGGTTGTGAGCCACCATGTGGTTGCTGGGAATTGAACTCAGGACCTCAGGAAGAGCAGCCAATGCTCTTAACCACTGAGCCATCTCTCCAGTCCCCCCCCCCCCCAGTAAGGTCTGAGGATGAACAAACCATCCATTTACAGATGTTTCCATCACAGATGGGACAAGGCTGAGTGCTAAAGTGAGTGGATGGAGGCCTTTCTCTTGGAAATGACCAGAATAGGGTGAGTCTGGTGCCAGGGCTGATAAGTACATGACTGGTCTAGTGTACTGGTAGGACTCTTGCTCTTGGAGGAGTCATGCTTATGAACATACACAGCTCCCAAGTGCATCTCCAGGAACCCCTTCCTCAAATTCCTTATGTAGCCCTGGAACTGCTCAGGCTGGGTTTGAACTTGGGATAATTCTGTCTCTTGGGTGCACAGCCATACCTTGCTCCAACTTTTATAAAGGAATAAATAAGCATGAACTACAGTGATTAGATGAAATTGAACTGGTGTTAGAAGTGTTTTTGTTGTAAAGGAATGCACATTTTCAAATTTTAGGAGCTTTGTTTTTATACCCTTCAGATGTCTAGTAGGTCTCAACTTATCTACACATGTGAGCCAGTTTTCCCACCGTTAGAGTTTCTTCATTCTTGGGTAACTCAATTCCTTGATTTTATTAGAAAATGATGGTGTATACCTTTAATCCCAGATATGAGGAGACAAGGGCAGGCAGATCTCTTGAGTTCACAGCCAGCCTGGTCTACAGAGTTCCTGGACAGCCAGGGGTACAGAAAAACCCAAAGAAATAAAAAACAAAAAGAAATAGTTGCATCTATGAACCTCACACTGGTCTCTCTGGTCCCACTCTTGCCTTCTAGATTGCCCAGGTGCA